TTAATTCAAAATTAATCATATTTAGCTTATTAGATCTATCTAGATGCAAGAAATTGAATGGTAATCATTTTATGAAAAATGGAGCGATATTGACTGAGATTGTATATTTTTTGTTTTTTGGATTTTTTTATATATGAAAAATTATATGATATGATATTATTTCGATTATTTGATTATTTAAGATAATTGAAATGATCTAATTTTAACTTTATATATAATGTAAACATTATAAAAAAATTATTTTTAAATTAATAAAATTGCATTTTTTTTTTTTACTTACAGCTAATTTCATAATTCATGGACCATTAATAATTTTTCAGTCGCATTCAATCACAATATTTTATAGTAATTTTATTATAAAATATTTTCAGTCGCATTTAGTCGCAATTTATTAGTGGTTTACGAATTATGAAATTAGCTGTAATAAAATATAAGAAAAACATTTAAATTTAAGTTTTTATTTACTTTTTTAAAGATAGCTAATTATAAGGTATTATTTGAGATTATTGAAATAAAACATTCTATATTATAGTGACAGTAAATTATAAGATTATTTGACTTGAAATTTATAATAAAAACAAAATCAATTGAGATTATTTTAAGGTTATTTCAAGGTTATTTATCAATATTACTATATTATCTATTTGTTTAATTTTTCAATTCAGATGATTTTAATATATGATTAGTTTTGGTCAAAATTATTGTAATATTAATACTAGTAAGTATAGTAGAATCCTGAACAATTATATAAATAGGTTATATTACAAATCAAAATTTTTCTATAATTAATAAGCAAATTATTTTAATTTTACTAAGCAAATTTTATTATGACTAAAAATTTTTGTCTTGTTAAGCAGTTTGTTTTATAACTTATAATTTTATTATATTAATAATACTAGTTGAAATGATACAATTCGACCAATAATCAGATATCTGAATTGTGTTTAAATTTAAGCTGAATTGTATCTAAATTATGATTGAATTGTAATAAATTTGATTTAATTCCTATTGACATAATTCAGTGTTAATAAGAAAAATACAGACTAAAGATGCCTTTTTAAACTATTTTTATAAATTTGAGTTTTGAGATATTTGAGATAAAATTATTTATTTATAATAAATATCTTTACCTAAACTTCTAATAGGTTTTCCTAAACTCAATTAAGTTTTATCAAGTTTTAGATTTAAAAAAAAGTCACTTTAAAGGTTTTAAAATAGTTTTTTTAATTTTTAAGCTACATGTTAAAATAGGTTTTAAATAACATCATTAATATAGATATAACAATTCAGACACAATTTAAACACAATTTGATCTAAGAATCAAGTCTAAAATTCAGACACAATTTATATACAATTCAGCCAAAAATAATCTAATTTAACATCTAAAATCAAACACAATTCAGACATAATTTGGATACAATTTAGCCTGAATTAACTACCTAAAATTAATCACAATTCAGATACAATTCAGCCAAAAATCAAACTAATTTAACCACTTAAAATCAACCATAACATAAATATAATTCAGACATAATTCAGTCTAATTTAACCTAAATTCAAACACAATTTACATTTCAATTTATTCAATTTATATTTTTATATTTTATAATGAATTTATTCAATAATATTAAGCAAATAAGCAAATAAAATATATTGTTCTTTCATCTCAATTTTTAAAAATTAAAACTAAAAAGCCAAAAGCAAATAAGCAAATTGTCTTACTCATTCTCAAAAAAAGAAAATATATGATTTATCATTGTCATTTTTGTAGTTGTTTAATCACTTTTCAATTTTTAAATTAAACTAAATTAAAAAGAAAATAAGTAAAAAAATAAAAATATGGGATAAATGCTAGGAAAAAAAAATAAATTATAAAAAAAACTTTTTTAAAAATAATTAAAGTTCTGGATTAAATAATAAAATTGTATTTATTTTATTTAGAAATAAATTTTTGAAAAAAATTTCAATTTGGTATTTTTTCTTAATATCATCTTATATTGTCCCACCCACTCTTTTAATTTTTTTTAAAAAGATACATAAATAAAAAGAACTAATAAGCAAAAAAAAAAGAAATTATTCCTAATTATAAAAAAAAAAAAATAAAAATAAAATAAAAAAATGCAAAAAAAAAGAATAAAAATATAAAAAAAACTAAAAGCAAATAAGAAAAAAAAGAAAATATTATTATACCTACCTTTCCAATTATTTAAAAAAATTATTATTGTTATTATATTTACCATCTTGAAATAGTTGTCGTTTACCATTAATCATCTATCTAAAAATAGTCATTAGAATTGTAATATTTATCATTATCAGCTACTGATATTTATTTCCTTTTGATTTTGATAAATTCTTCATTATCTGTGATATATTTTTCATCATCCAATTTGAATACTTCAACTTTAGTGTCAAAGAATATATTTAGTTGATTAATTTGAGACTATTTAGAGGCATTTGTGAGATGCAGTTAGTCATAATACTGCATTTCATTATTGTATTTTTATTTTTATATGATTAATGAGGTTGCAACATCTATTTAAGTACTTTTTGAAAAAGATTTTTTAGCAGAAATATTAATGAATCTCAACTGATTGCTACGAAAGATTTTATATAGTAATGACAGACTTTTGTTTATCATCATTATCTATTTCACTAAATATGTAAGAAAATCTAATTATAGAATTAGTTTAATAATAAATATACATATTAAATAATTTAAATTAATCAAATTTATAATATTAGTTTAAATTTTCATACAGTATATTTTAACTAAAAATAGTACTATAATTAAGAAGTTGCAACTTCTTATAAAATTAATTTTAATATAAAAATTTATAAATAGTTGTAATTAGTTAAAAATTTTAAAATTAATTACAGTTTTATTTTTAATTTTAACAGTTTTGTTACTTTATATAATAATAATCTAATTAAAATATATAATTAAATAAAATATAATTTTTTTTATTGCAAATTATTCTGATAGTAGACTTGATTTTATATATTAAATTTATAATTTATTTATCAAAATAAATAAAATTCTTGATGATAATAATAAAATTATTTATACTTTGGACTTAAGTATAGATTTTATTTTTCTAATGATATTTATGTAATAGTAAATAAAAAATATTTTTAAAAAATATTTTTTTTAACAAATAAAATAATAAACAAATTATTTATAATTTTTATTAATAGATAATAAGAATATATTTTATTTTTTAATTTTATCCTATTTATTTTTATGTTTTTTATATTTATCTTAGTGTATAAAATCTAAGTTAAAATTTATATGCACAAGTTGATTAATTATTACTAAAATAAGAAAATCATAACATTTTCTTATGTAAAATTACCTTTTTGTATATAATTTATCTATTTTTAGTAATAATTTGTGCACATTTTATGTTGTGTAATATGTGCATACAAAAAATTAATGTGTACATGTGCACATTGTACACGTAGATTTTACACACTGTTTAATCTTAAAAAATAAATATTTAAAAACAGTTATTATATTTATGAAAAATTATATAATTAAAATTAAAAATTTTTATTTATAATAAATAAAAAGGTAATTTTTATTTTTATATTGGATATATAAATCTAAGATTATTATATCATATGGGAGTATTTCCACTAAAATCACATTACAAATCATATGATTTACTATGCCTCATGACTTGATTTTACTAGAAACGTTTCTATATGTTTATATAATAAGAAACATGATTTCTAATCCTAAACTACAATTGATTCTAAATTAATTTTTAAATTAATTATAAATTTAATCTAAAATGATATATAAAAATATGATAAATAGGATTTTATATTAAAAAAAAGTTTTTTATTATATAAAATAAAATATAGAGAGTTAATACTGATAATATATAATTAATATACAAATATATAGTATATAATAATAAATAAAAAAATTCTTAAGAAATAAAAATAACTATTAATTTTTTAAAAAAATATATTTTTGTTAAAATTATTTAATAATAATATTTTTAAGATAAATAATATAAGTTAATAATTAATTAATTATTTCTTTTTTTATTTAAAATTAAAATATTTTAATATTTTAATATTTTAAACAGTAAAATAATATATATAAAAATAAAACTTATTTTTAGTAAATTAAATTAAAATTAGATAAATAAGTTAGGATTTAGTAATTTATAGTTAATAATTTAGGTTTATCAGGAGTATAGACTAATATAAATATTTTAGACTAAACATAAAACTTTTTCTTAGCAATCATTTTATTTATTTTATTTTACATAATAATAATTATAAATGATTTATAAAAGTATTTATTTTTTTTTAACTTTAATTTAGTTAATATAAAATCTTTTAAATAATTCGTATTCGTTGTTTATGCATTATATGTTAAAAACAGAAAAACTGTGGCGTTTTCTAATTGAACCCCTGAAAAATTTTTTTAGTGGCGTCATATTTAAATTCCAAATCCTTTAAACCGTTATTTTTTCTTGCTTTTCTTGCTTTACCACAAAAAAAGCATAGACTGTCATCTTTTTATATTATAGTAAATAAATATTCTTCGTGAGAGTGAAATTTTCTCCACAAATCCAGTAGTGTTACAACACTGCGGAATTATCTTGTTCTGTGTTATACAATAAAAAATTTTGACTTTAAAAAAATATTTTGTTGATTATTATCAGAGATTTTATTCCTCAACTTAATTTCTTCCCTCCCAAAAATCTATTTTCTTTCCTTGACAAGAATAAAAATTTTTCTTACATAAAATATTTATTTATTATTTTAAAAAATTGTCTTTTGTACCTTTTTTATTACATAGTATACATTATATGTCACCATTTTTTAAAAAAAACTAATCCCCCTTTTCGTGGTGGTGTTGGTTTGTTATTTTTCCACATAAAACCATATAAATATCCTATTTCTCTATTCTTCGAATTTTTCGAGATCTCTCCATAAAAAATATAGTCTTTCTTTTTCCCAAAAAAATAAAATAAAATACAATGCACGAAGAACACGAAGAAGAAACCCGGAGACCGTTATTGTCGCGTTCTTTACCTGGTGAACATACTGTCCCAAATAGTCTGCCTGCTACTTTACCTACCACAACAAATATTAATTTACCAGTTTCACCTCAACAACAAAGACAAGTTAACACATCTAATACAAATACCTTTTCAAATATTTCTTCGTCATCGTCGTCTTCTGCTAATAATAATAATAATAATATGGCCGAAGAGAATTTTGCTAAACTGAGAAGAACTCGTAGAAGTCTTTCTACCTCCAATTCAAGCCAAAGTTTACTCAAGAAGTCTCTTTCAATAAAACCTCGGGCTCAATCAAATCTTTTCCCAGCTGCTACAACTTCTCCTACTACTACTAATAACAGTAGTAGTAACTCACCTTTATACTCACCCTCAACACCTACTACTACTACCACTGAAAGTGATACAAGTAATAGGTCTTCTTTTGAAGACTTTGATTATTCTTCACCCGGAACTGGTTCGATTTCTAGTAGTAGCTCTTTAAACTCTCCTCTCTTTGCTTCATCCACTTCTGATACTTCAACAACAAATTTCCCTTTTTATACGAGGGAAAGACATCAATCTTTAGTTGTTTTTTCTGGAAGATCAAGTAATATAACTACTTCTTTACAAGGAAATCAAATTTTCCCTCAACCAACAACTACCACCTCAGCACCAACTAATTCGACAATAGGTTACACATGTCATCAACTCAATTCAAACTCTTCCTCAGCTTCACAGCCACAATTTTCTTCTACACAGTCACCTTTCACTTCTCACTACCAACAAATTACTTCTACACAGTCACCTTCCTCTTCTCACCACTCCCAACAACAACTTTTTCCAATTTCTCCAGGTTCAGGATCTGCTGGTGGTCTTGGTGATGATGTATCTACTACTTCATTCTGTCAACAAAAAACGACCAAATCTATGCAGCGTCGTCCTAGTGGTGCTAGTTCACAACTTAAACGTTTGATGAATTTGAAATCCGAAAATTATCCTTCAAACCCTAATTCATTATATTCAGATTCTGAAACTGATTCTATAGAAACTGATTCTGATGCTTATGTAACAAATGATGAACAATCCTCTTTTGTTTTATCTTCTTCTATGAAAAGAAGACCTTCTTTTCAAAGATCTCCTACTCACAGATTTTTCCCGGACTTATCTGTTGATGCTGAAGAAAATCATTTAAGTAATTTACATATTATTGATGAAGGTTCTCCTGAATTTACTTTTCCTAAAGTGAAACGAAAATTATTAAAAGATCTTGAAGAAACAAAATGTCGTGCTGATAAAAGTATTATGCAAATTTTGGAAAATTGGTATCAATCATATCAATATCAAGAATTATTAAGTGAACTTTTATATGATGGTTGGAGTGATGACGATGATAAACAATCTTCTCCTATAGCTGTTCGTAGGAGTAATTCTCAAAGAACTTTAAGTAAATCTGCTAGTGGTAATAATAATAGTAGAGGAAGTGGTGGTAATCAAAAAATTAATAATAATGATGATGATTCTGCTTTGGTTAGTGACACTGATGATGAAGCTTCTTTACCACCAAATCATAAAAAATTATTAACTCCAACAAGATCACCAAAAATAAATGCGCAATATAATAACAATAAACAAATTACTCATAAAATGGAATCAATATCCTTACATGGTGATGCTAAACCTAAAGATATTATTTTTCAAAGAAAAACTTCCGAAAGAAGATTAATTCATTCTAATAGTTGGCCTCAATCTATTTTGGGTAAGTGATTGAATTAAAGAAGAAAGGTTATATTAAATAGAGATTTATATTTATTATTTTCAATAATCTATTACCATTTTTTTTTTTGATATATATTCTTATTTAAGGGAGATTATTTGCTTCCCTTTTTATATTTAGTTTTATTTGAAATTGCGAATTTATTGAATTATTTAATTTTCGAGAAAATTTACTGCTTTTGATTCAGCCGGATATTTGGGGGAAAAATGATTCTTTTTTTAAAAAGAAATACAGATTTTTAAATTAAACACTTTAATGAATTTCGGTTTCTAATGATTCTCCCGTCATTTTTTAGCTTCATCACACACGCTCTTATTGACTCGAATTGATCGAATAGCACGTCGCATTTTAAAGACGGTAGTTCATGATTTATTGAACTTCAATGTTGCAGTAGAAATAATGAAAGAATTACAGGAGCTTATGAAAGCACAAAGAAATATGGCCGTAGGGAATGCTGATGCTGAAGAGCTTTTAACAAAGTTAGTTTACGTCTTTGCAGATGTAACGAGAGCTGTAGAAGCAGTGGTAAGTATATAGAAATATCCTTTTTTTTTTTTTTTGGTAAACTTTAATACTTTAATAAATTCTTTACCCTTTTTCAATTTATAATAGAATCATTCATTTGCCGAAACAAATCCAGAATTATCTGGAGACGGCGGTAATAAAGATGATATACCAACTACAGGTTCAGAATGGTCACCTTCTCCTTTGCCCTCGCCTTCACTTCCCGTGACTCCGTCATCATATTCACCCCCACGTACGATTTTACAAATGCAAGAGAAAAGAAAATCTTCGATAAGTGAAATTGATAATAATGCAAAGTTTAGTTCACTATTACCACCACAGCCTGCTTTTAGTTCACCACTCGCGCGGCATGTATCTACTCCAATTAAAACACAACATTCATCATTTAAAGTTTCTCTTGAGCAAAGACGTGCATCAGCAAATGAAGCTATATTTGAAAGCCCTATAATGTATGTACCTCCACCTCGTCCATGCATGGACGATAATTTATTAACTTGGAGCAGTTTAACCAGAAAACAAGTTGATCAGTTACTTCATGAGGAAATGAATAGAGAAATCGATTTTGGTATTATACTTAAAAAACAACAAGAAGATATTGACCCTGAATCAAGGAAGAAAACCAAAAAGGTAAACTAGATTATTTATAATTTAGTACATATGCAATTTTATTTATTTTATTGACAATTTGTAGTCGAGACCAGTTATGAACTTTTTAAAGTCTTTGAAGAATGCATTTCATAGTCCGACATCGTCAACTAGTGTGTCACCTACAGGATCTCCATCAATAGTTCAACCTAGTCCAATGCGTAATACACATTTACCTAAACCACCACAGCCAGAAAAATCTAGATCACTTTCTTTCGATTCGCAAGCATTTACATTAACGCGACGTAGTTCTTCAATGTCGTTGAAAGGAGTTATGGAAAATAATAATAATACTAACATTATAGTACCAAGCAGTGTACCTAATACAATGAACTCAGGATTTTCAATGTATGATTATATACTTTGTCGAATTTGCGAAGAAATGATACCAAGTCATGAATTGGATGCACATTCCGAAATTTGCGTCATCACCACCGATTATGCTATTAAATTGCAAGAATGTGATGGAAGATTACGTAGGTTAGTGAGTGATGTAGCTAAAAGAAAGGCTGAGATACTGGTAAGGGTTCGTTGGTCAATCATTCTACATGTTTTTTGGTTTTATCTTTTAATTTGATGTTATCATTTAGGAACGAAATACGCTTTACCAGGATTATTACAATGTAAAGGATGCTGAAATGATGGAAGAAATCGGTTTAAAGTGAGATATTGGTGTCTTTGAATTTTTTTTAAAAAAATGGGTTATTTATATCTTATTATTCTAAAATTTTTTTAAATCATATAATGTTAGGGCTGCCGACCTTAAAGAAACGATGAGTCGTCGTGAAGCTCTTCGTAAAAGCGACAAATATGCAAATAAATTGGGAAGAGTAGTCGATGACATGGAGAAAACCTCTTCCAGAGATGAAAACTCTGCCAGAGATGATTACATTTTGACTTATGGCAAGAGATTGCTTCATGTGGTGTGTAATTCAACATTCCTTAACGATATTTATTTATCTATAATTACTTATCTTAATATTTAATGTTAGGTTCAAGAGAAACATGATACACTTCGTTCTTATTATCAAAAATTGCGCTCAACAAATACATTGTCAAATGCAGGAACATCATCCGCTATAGCCGCAGCTGCAGCTGCAGCTGCTGTAGCTGCTACTACGGGTATCGAAAGAGAAGGTTTACGTATACCAGCAAAAGTTAATAGGAAACAATCTGTGTCAAGCCGTTTATCAACTTCAGCTACTTATAAGATGTCTACAAGTTATAAATCACGATCTGATCGTAATCGTAATAATTATGGTCAGAAAGATGGTGGCACTGCATCTTCTCATAAACGACAAGATAGTAACGGTTCAGTATCCTACGGTAAGATGCATCTTGAAATTGGTATGATTTTGTAGCTTTACATTTATTATATGATTTTTTTCCTTGGTAAAAAGAGGGTTTAACATTTGTTTTGTTACGGTGAGATAGTATAGTTTTGATTTAAATAACCACATGAAATTATTTTATTCACTACCTTTGTTTATCTCTTCGATTATCTTAAATAGATTCAGATTTTACACCACCAGCGCCAAAAGGTGGTAAAAAATTGATATCACTTTTTGCAGCAGTATTACGTGGAGGAAATAATCGTAGTGCTAGTAATTCATCGCTTAATAAAGACGGTATAGCACCAAGTACGCTGGTCTCAAATGGAGAAAAAATAGGATCAAAGACTAAAATACCGAGTATACAAGATTTTGAAATTATTAAACCAATCAGTAGGGGTGCATTTGGTAAAGTTTATTTGGCAAGAAAAAAAACCACAGGAGATCTTTATGCTATAAAGATCTTGAAAAAAGTTGACATGGTACGTAAAAACATGGTAAATCATGTATTGGCAGAACGTCGAGTACTTAGCTTATCAAGGACCCCGTTTGTTGTAAAACTCTATTATGCATTTCAAAGTCAAGATTATTTATACTTGGTGAGTATCATGAGACATCTTGTTTTCTCTTTTTTTTTTTTTTTAAAAAAAAAAAGAATATATATGTTTATTAGTAACAACATGCAATCTTTAGGTTATGGAATATCTAATAGGAGGTGATTTGTCATCATTACTTCAATGCTTTGAAAAATTTGAAGAAGAAATGGCAAGAATGTATACGGCAGAAGTTGTATTGGCTCTTGAATATTTACATAATAACGGAATTACACATAGGGACTTAAAACCTGATAATATGCTTATTACATCAGAAGGACATATAAAATTAACAGATTTTGGATTATCAAGAATATCTATACCCGAAAAGAGTTCTTTAACATTTGTTAAAGAAGAAAATGAATCGCCAAATGGTAAAAAATCATTTGCAAAAAGTTTAAGGTCAGGTAGTGTAGATTCAAGAGCAAGTACGTCCCATTCACGACCAGTCTCCGCAGTATTTCCTAATGAAATTTCGAGGAAAATAGGGCATGTGAATTTTCAAGGATTGGATAGTAATAAATATTCATCAAAATCATTATCAAGTAATAATACAGCAATAAACAGCACATCATCAAAATCTGGTAAACGGCAAAATAGACAAAGTTCTAAAGCATTGTTGGGAACGCCAGATTACCTCGCACCAGAATTATTACTTGGAATTGGACATACGACAGCCGTTGATTGGTGGTCATTAGGAGTATGTTTATTTGAATTTTTAATTGGATATCCACCATTTAATGATGATACACCACAAGCAATATTTAGAAATATATTAAACCATGATATACAATGGCCACCGGAAGGATTTTTATCAGCAGAAGCAAAGGACTTGATAACTAAATTATTAAATCAAGATCCCGAGAAAAGGCCTTCTGTATTAGAAATTAAATCTCATACATTTTTTAAAGATGTTAATTGGGAACATATAAGACAACAAGCTGCGCCATTTGTGCCAAATCCTGAAGATGAACAAGACACGAGTTATTTCGAAGCACGGAATAATCGAGCTGATATTAGAAGATTGTCAGCTGGTAATATTGTTGATATCGCTACCGGGAAAGTAACAACTCCAGGAGATCGTCGATCTGGACAATTTGACGATGATTTAGAGATAATAAATATTGGTGGTGGTCCTAACGTAAATGATAATGATAACAATTTTGGCAATAATACGGGAACACCTAATTTGTTATTACATACTGTTACCGCCGAACCGATTGAAAATGTGTCATTAAGTTCACCTGTTTCATCTCCCTCGCGAAATAAACCCGATCTAACTATCAATACACACATTCGTGAGAGACGTCCTTCATCATTAAAACCACCAATTCCCATAGAAGAAGTGCAACAAGTACCTGTTAAACCACAACAAAAACGTAGACCCTCTTTATTAAAGTTAGCAGGTAAATCAAGAAAGCCTTCGATTAGTGGTACAAGTGATGGAGGATTATTAACTTCGTCATCATCACCATCCATAACATCTGGCACGTTAAATTCAATACCAATATCAGCTTCAACATTGGTTTCACCGTCATTTAATCCTTCAAGACGATCAACTCTTGTTGGATCGCCAACATTATATGAAATAGAATCAAATGCTGGAATAAATGATGCCGAGAAATTTGAGATTCAACCAAGAAATAATCGAAGTGGTGATTCGGAATTTGATGCTTTTCTTTATAAAGGCGTTTCATTTTTAGGCGATGTTAATCGAGATATGTTGTCTTCTGGTACTAGTAATACTACAAGTGGAAGTAGTTCTATGAAAAAATCATCCATGACTGATCTTAAGGCTAAATAGTATAAAAAGGATTTGGAACAATGGATATTTCGAAACTAGAATTTTTATGATAATATAGATATAAATATATATACACATTTTTTTTTGTTGAAAAGGCAGGGCCTACATAAAAAAAAAAAACCAAAACAAAAACAAAAAACTCTTGTAATATACAAACAATATTCTTAGTATTTTGATGAACTTTCTTTTCTTTTCCTTTTTTTTCCTTTTTTACTCTATCTTTTTTCCCCCTTTTTTTTTTCTTTTGAACAATTGACATTTCTCTATATAATTGACGGCTTGGCTTTTTTTAGATTGGAATATAGTGGTTGTTTTTTGTATATATATGTTAGCTCGTTTTTATAGTATCTGCCTTTGCCTCCATTATTGTCATAATTTTCATAAAAAAGCATCATTCATTCAAAAACAATTAGTGTTGACGATATTTATTTACCTTTGCATTTCGCATGTGCTTTATTAATTGTTGGTAATGATTTATTTTTTTGAAACAATAATTGAAAAGAAATTAGTTAGGTTCATTAACTTTTATATATATTTTTTTACATTATTGAAAAAAAAATTTCATATCAAAAAAAAACTTTAATTTTAGCACAAAAAAAAAGAATAAATTAAAAAAACTTTTTGTAGTATAGCAAGTACACTTTTTTTTTTTAAAAAAAAATAAATTAGTTTCCTCTAATAGAAACTTCAAAAAATTAGATTCGCTTGTTAATCTATTGAATTGTTACAATGATCCTTCTTAAACTGAAAAAGAATAAAAAACATCAATAATCGCGTAAATGTTGATACGCGTTTTATCACATGAATTATGAATAAAGGAGATCATTGAAGCCAAACCGCAGCATATTCCGTGATCTTCTGTCTCTCATCTTTAATTCATGAAACACGCGTGATAAAAAGCAATGGGGATGACAGATGACAAATGGATAACCCCGCGATTATGTGATTTTTGTTGTACCAACAATCTTTGAAAAAGTCACGAGATGTTTAACCAAGAAAAAGATATTTTTTTTTTGTAGTAATTATAGTAATTTAGTAATTGTTTAATTGTTTAAATACATCTATTGTGTTATCTTCTAAATATTATTATAAGAGTGTAACATAAAGAAAGAAGTGTTGCAAAAATGACGTATTTGGTTAGTTAACACATAGTCCTGAATAACTTTGCTGCTAAAATCTGTTTATGTCTTCGCCGCTTTTTTTATCATTCCCATAGCTAGACTTTAAGCCTGTCTTATATTTGTCCCTCCATCCCTTATTTCATTATTTTTCATACAAAAAAAAAAATTCACTAATTCATATTTGCCCGACCTATTCCCTCCCTGCTTTTCAACAAATCATCGTGTAAATTTTTTTTTTTAAAAAAAAAAAAAAAAAAAAAAAAAGCAAAAAAGCCGGAAAACTTTTTATACTTCGCTTTGCTTCTATTTTTTTTTTTTTTTTTTTTTTTTTTTCCCTTTACCAACTTTTTTCTTTATAACCAAAAATCATTTAATCATAATTTCATAACGAAGCAAATAAAAGTTTAATTCGTGTATTTTTTTATAGATATTATCAACAATACAATAATATAATACACTCATTATTGAACTTTTTCGGTGGCAGTTCCTTTGGTTGGAAAATATATATATATATATATTTTTTCTTTACTTGAGTTTGTCTAGTATAAACCTTTTTGAAGCATATTGGGTCTCAAGTAGATAAATCAAAATATATAATATATATATATATATTTTTTAGCTGAACTCATCTTTATTTGATAAAGATTGTTCAATATCTGTTTTTCGTTTATATTATTATTCGTGAATTTGGTTTCACCCTTGTTGGAAACTAGCAATGAAAAACAGCAAAGCTTCAACCTTTAAAGTAGACACTAATATGGCTTCTGAAGGTTGCCAATCACCATCACCTTCAACACCAATGTCGCCTCTCAACTCAAGTAAAAAGTCAACGACAACGTCTCCTTCAAAAGAAAATATTTCTCCTCAATTTAGATTACCAACGGTTGCCAACATTTCTTTGGCTCCTACTACTACCACCACCGTGGTCACAACCACTACCACTACAACAACTTCCTTCCCCCCACTGCTATTGAAGCCACCCCCTTTACCCAAACATTTAGATCCCAAGGAATATCCTCTTGCTGATACTCCAACTCCTCCTGCTTTGAAACGTTTTTGTTTTGATTTAAATGGTCAACCAGCTTATATTCGTGAGGATGAAGATTCAGAACAACAAATTGTCAAGGTGTGTTAACCTTTGTTCAAAATTAGTTATATTATCAAGTTTATTCATCTGCGTTTTTCCAAGGTTATCATATCATTTCAGGACTTTTGTTTTGTTCCTTTGTTTGAATCATATATTGATGATACCTGGTATATATCATAAGATGGATGGGGAAAAAAATAATAAAAATTTTTTTTTCGTTCGTTGAGATATAATAACTAATGTTTTGTCAAATTCACCCCTCTAATTTGATAACATATTTAGCTTCAAGAAGCCCTATATAATATGCGAGCCTCCGGTCCAACCACTTCGACATCAAAAACTGTTAAAACGAGTTTAAATCATCCAACGTTTAATGATAATTACTCGGAAATGAAAACTACAAGTACTGTTTCTCGTAAAAGACCCGCTTCACCTGTTGAGCCTTCTTCATCATACGATTTCCCTACTTCAACTTCCAGCCAGCAACTGTCAAATAACTGCAACGGTTCGCTTTCTCATAGTTCTTTATCTCCACCACATAAGAAAGTTCGTGCAAAGGCTGTCGGAAATTTACCGGAACAAGAAAGCGAGCTGGTCTCACCACAGCAATTGATGGATTACGATCCTCGTACTCCCAGTTCTAATCAAGTAAATATACTGAGAACTCCCATGAACAAAATTCAGGAAGCTTCACCTTCGATCATCCCGATGACTCTTCAACCAATTCCTTCTACCATTTCAACTTCAAGACATTATAATAATAATACTATTTCATCATCGAACCTTGGCATGGATACTCCATCGACTACAAGAAGTACTCATTCTTCGGCTTTACCATCGCCATCCCTGTCTCCTATTGCTGGAGTTGCAACTACAAGTGGGACAAACCAATTTGATAATTTCTTTGCTGATCACAATGATAACGACGATGTAGATGATGATGACATAACCGTTGATGAACCTATTTCTTCAGTGAACCATCCTGATAGTTGGAATTTACAACAATCAAACAATTTCATGACTAATTCAACTCATTCTCCTAACCTTTGGGATTTGAATACCATGTTGGCGACATTCGATGCCTTACCATCGTCAATGAAATCTTACATGCTTTTTCAACTTCTTAGACGTTGTCCTACCAACACACTTCAATACGTCAGCAATATTATCTTACCTGCATTAAGAAAGGATTTTGTTGGGATGCTTCCTATCGAACTTAGTTTACATATAGTAAAATATTTAGATGCCGATAGTATGTGTAAAGCGGCTCAAGTAAATAAAAGGTGGAGAAATGTAATAGATGGAGATAGTCTAACGTGGCAACGTCGTCTTATGATGGATGGTTTTGGTGTTGATGAATCGGAAGAACAACGTGCCATTTCCGAAAATTGGGGACTTTTACGTCCAATAAATTGTTCACATAATAGAAGTAGGCATCTGGAAGGTACCAATAACAATCACGAAAGTGGTACATCGTCTTCTGAAGAAAGAACTATTGTAGAAGCTGATGATGATGATACTGATAATATGAGGGTTGTTGCTGAAGATAAAATCGAAGATTCTTCGAGGTTAACACCATATAATCAAAATGACAATAATAATATGACTGTCGATGATATGGATTATATAATAATTGAAAAAAGTAATGAATTGGAAATAGATAATATTGATCATGATATTTTACAAGATTCTCACACGCTCTCACCAACAGGTACTGATGAACCTTCTTCTTCAACAGGTGCCAGCTCTTCATTATTTGATAAAGACTACTCTTCATCACAAGATAAAGGAAAAGCCAGGGCTGATGGGGATTGGAATAGTTATAGTGTGGATGAACAAGAACCTCATCAAGATGATGATCGAGACCGACCTTATGATGGAGACGATAGCGATGTTGATGCAATGTCTCAAGAAAGTAGTGACCGCGCCGAACTTTCCGAAGAAAGGCTCCCGCTATCATCCTCGGCCGATCATCCTTATAAAGCCATCTATCGTCGTCATTACCTTATGCGACAAAATTGGCTTCATGGACGTCATAAACATATCTCATTTCCCGGTCATGGAAATAATGTCGTTACATGTCTACAGTTTGATTCCGAGAATATCATTTCAGGTTCTGATGATCAGTGCATCAATGTTTACGAAACTTCCACCGGTAGATTGATTAATCGACTTGTTGGCCATGATGGAGGCGTATGGGCACTACAATATGTAAACAAAACGTTGGTATCAGGTTCTACAGATCGTACTGTGCGCGTATGGAATCTTGAAACTGGTGCATGTACTCATGTATTCCCAGGACATACCAGTACGGTTCGTTGCCTTCAAATAATAATGCCGCAAAATGTTAATACTAATCCCAATGATAAACCAATTGTGGAGCCACCGATTCCGCTGATTGTTACCGGCTCAAGAGATTCGACTTTGAAGGTTTGGCGTCTTCCGAACCTTGAAACAGATCAACCATTTCAACCTGCCATCCCTTCGTCACCTACCGATAATACACAGTATGCTGATAATCCCTATTATATACGTACGCTTTCCGGACATTCCCATTCTGTCCGTGCTTTAGCGGGTGTTGGCAACACTTTAGTTAGTGGTAGTTATGATTGTACGGTTAGAGTATGGAACATTATGAGCGGTGATTGTGTTTGGCGATTACACGGACATACACAGAAAGTGTATTCCGTTGTACTGGATGCTAAACGCAAAAGATGTATGAGTGGTAGTATGGACGGTACTGTAAAGGTTTGGAATTTAGAGGATGGAACGAATATATGGACATTGGAAGGTAAATTTACTTGTCTTGCCATAAAAAGTAATGTCCCTCGTTCACAAAAGTCCTTGTATATTAATGTCGATGTTATTTCCTTAATAGGACACTCTTCTCTTGTCGGTCTTCTTGATCTTTCACACGATTATCTTGTCTCAGCAGCTGCTGATTCGAGTCTTCGTATTTGGAATCCGGATGATGGTACGTGCAAACACGTTTTAACTACACATACTGGCGCAATAACGTGCTTTCAACATGACGAGAGTAAGGTCATTTCGGGTTCAGATGGTACCCTTCGCATGTGGGACGTTAAGACTGGACGTCACGTGCGTGATTTATTGACCGGGTTAAGCGGTGTATGGTAAGTTATTATAATAGCCATTCCATTCTATTTTTTTTTTTCCTTAATAACCTAAATTTACCTGTAAAAATAGGCAAGTTAGATTTGATGAACGCAGATGTGTGGCCGCAGTTCAAAGAAATTCAGTGACATGGTTCGAAGTTTTAGATTTTGGTATATACGGAATTGAAGACGATGATGGTTCACATGAGAATAATTGTATAGATGAAAGTGGCAATTGGATTGACAGAAGAATAGTTGTGGGATACAATGGTAGTAGTGAGGAATAATAATAATAGAAATTCACAAAAAAAAAATTAATATGTTGTCGTTATTAAAGATAGTTTCAGCGAATTATATTATTATGACCTTTTTAAAACATTTGTTAATATGACTTCCATCTTTTTGAACATTAATCTATTTTTTTTTGAAGGGTTTTGACAATTTTGTATTAATCACTTATGCTAGAAAATAGTGGTCTGTCTTTAGTTACTTGTTCATATATTAAAAAAAAAAAATTCATTTATACCTTTTTCAATTTACCTTTAATTGTTATATATATACACATATATTGTCTATTATTTCTGTTAATTACATATTAAAAAAAAAAAAAAAAAAAAAAGAAATTTAGAATATAACACATTATATAATAATAACCTTTTTAATTTGTAATGATTTCAATTACGAATATTATGCATAATTATTTCTTATTTCTTGAAGTTATATATACCTTTGTATTTTATATATTTCTTAGAAAAAAAGTATTATTTAAGTAAAAATTTATTACCATATATTTTAATCTTTCAATAAACTTTTATTTGCACACATCATTAAAGTATAAAAATAATATATAATTCGCGTGATAAATAGATAGGATTAACCCTTAATTATATTTAAAAATGAATAGTTCTATCTTATTTATAATCAAATTAAATATAATAAATATTATTTATATAAAATTGTATATATATATAAATTTGTAATTGGTCAATTTTTGATTAATTAAATAAATAAATGATTAATTTTTTAATTCTAATGATACTTGAAATGTTTTATTTAAATATTAAATTCAAAATAAGTTTTTTATTTAAAAAAAAATTAGTAAAAGATATCTTTAAATTTTATCAGTCAGTCGTTAGACCAATTTCAGTCGACTCAGCCGTTCGTCTGAGTCGTGACTCTCATTTGAAATTAGCAAAAATAATTGTATTATCTAATAATTAACAAAAAATTTTTTAAATTGAAATATTTATTTAATTGAGAATTTCACTTTATATCAAATTTGGAACAGCGACTCGGTCACGAAAATTCCAGAGTCGAGTCGACAATCGGTTAATTGAAATTATAAATGTTGTATAATCAATAATAATATTAGTTAATAAATATCTAAATTATAATTTAAAAAGATTATGATAATTTTTGTTAAAAGAATTTATTTGTAAATGCAAAACTATAATTTGAAAATATGGATAATTACAAAGAATGTATGAAATACAATTTGTTCCGAAGAACCATAATTTGATTTTGATATTCAATTTGGACAATTTTTTAAAAATAACATAATTGGAAAATCACGTAAATACAAAAGATATTAAATAATCATTTTTTTTTTTTTTCGTATTGACAGTTGAAATTTTTTTTTTGAGATCTCCAATTTGAAATCTATTCCTAAATCATTAAACAATTTTTTAACTAAGTGTTTTCGTGTCATCTTGGATTTTCTCGTTTGGTTTCTGTACATCTTTATGTTTATTGTCACCAGTCTCCTCTACACTAACACCCATTTTATCAAAGTCCGTAGGTTTTCCTCCTTCCTCACATAACGTATCAGTTGACTCTTGCTTATGCGGATTATCGATAACCGAAACAACATTTGATCGCACAGTTATTAACCCCTCTAATTTCGAATTGTTTTCGTGATCTTCTTTGATATTGTTATTCGCATCACTGGATTCTTGAATCTTTATGATTGGGGATTTCGAATTTGATGATGAAATTTCTATGGATGTATCACTAGTATTCGGGGTTATAATAGTAGTGACAGTTGCTAATGATGTCGAATCTGAAGTTTGTATTGTATCGGAGGATTTAAAGGCTGATTGAAAATCCGCTGTCCAATCTGCAACGGTAAGAAGTTGCTTACTTTCCTGTAAACTAGAATGCCATTGGCTAGAATTATCCTAATAAATGATGAATTAAGTAAATTAAAAAATGTTCGCTAAGAAATTGAAACGTTAAAATCAAATAGAATCTACCTCATCATCACTATCACCTCTAAATTCTTCATCTAAAGATGATCGGCGATTTTCGAAAGGATCACCCTATAAGAAATAGATCGGTAAACAAAAATTTGAAAATAAAAAAAGACAAAGATAGATTTATTACCTCAAGCATGTTAGGAGTCGCGAAAGTTCCTCTCATATCAAGGTCATCTCTGTCAAAATCATCACTAATTTATTAAAGATAAGGATATCAATAAAATAACTGAATCTATTAAACGATTAATAATAGAAAATTTAAACCAACCCAATCCACCCTTCATCATCATCCTCACTATCATCATCATCAGATGAACCAAATTTATCCGGTAAATCGTTCGTAATTTGTTGACATAAATACCGCGCAAACTTCAAATTTTTCGAATATTTTTTTTTAGAATTTTTTGTTAAAAAGGTAAAAAGGAATATATTTAAGTTTATCCAATAAATAAAAAACAATATACAAACTTGGTCGCTTGCCATGTCACCGCCTTCGACAGCTTCAATAGTATCATCATCATCATCATCATCACTTTCTTCGCGACTAGGAGGCATGGTATCATGAGTATTTGGACGATGCCCACCTAATGGCTCACGATCACGTTTTCTTGTCTCAAATAATGTTTTAGATACATATTCCTGCCAATCTTCAGCCGCAATAAAATCTGCAATTAACAAAGTTGTCATTAATATTTAAAACAAAATTTTCATTTCACCACCATGTCAAATCACAGAAACCAACCTATCACTTTCTCTCCGATCTCTACTGCATAATTATCCAACAATTTAACTACTTCTTCTGCGATAAAAGTTAAATGTCCCATATAGCCTAATCTAACGCCCTTTGGTTTTTCACTAACGTACAGATACCAAAATGAAATAATTAATAATCAGAATGAATTAAAAAAAACACGCATTCAAAAAAAAAACAAAAGAATCACCATACACTTCACTATCGTTTAGTCTTTGTGCCATCGTAATACGTTTAGTAAGATGTCCATCGGTAAAGACCTTTAATTATAAAATAAAGAGAATTTACATTAAGGTTTTTAACAAGGTATTATAAACATTATTTGGAAAAATTAAATATTATATTTACAGAAATTGCCAGTGTCTTATTATACCCAATATCCATTCTTCCATTAAATATTTGAGTAATCATATCGTAAACCACAGTATGTAGGAAATTATTCCATTTATAATTAAAGAATAAATCCTTAATAATGATCAAAGAATTAATATTATATAATTTTTAACTATAATATTTAAAAAATAATATTTTTTTTTTTAAAAAAAAAAAAGATTACCAGGCATGTTGGTATAATTTTGTGCTCAACAAATTTGAACTTTAATATATCGCCTACCGGCAACTCTGAAGATACCGGCCCGTTAGAATTATCAGTTGGTGTGACATATTCTGAGCCCGATGATTCCTGTGTTTCTTCAAAAATGTCCATTAGTATCGGTGAAGAAACAGGATTTGTGGATTGTTCCACGGCGATTTCTTCTTGTTGTGAGTCCTTTTGCTTTGTATCTTCATTTCCTTGAATATCCATGGCTGTTTGAAATTCGTCAATTTTTTGAGTTTGGTAATTTGAATTAGAAATATTTGAACCTAGTACTTGTCCGTAGTCATTGTAATCTTCTACACGTTTTAACTCGAAAAACCCGTTGGTAGGTGTATCATGCCGAACAGAATTAAGCAAGCTCATATTTGAACAATGTAATAATTCTGCAAGAAGTTCGCAAGTTCTGAACCTCTCAAATCCAAGTGGAACTATTTTACCTATCGTTGTTTCAATTTGACCCGACTATTTTTGAATTTATTTTAATACGTATAATAAATTATTTTTAGAACTACCCAAAATGATAAACTAGTTCGAGATAAGATTTTTATAACAATACCACTGATTTAGGACTGTCCAATAAAGCCTTAAACTCCCCAACTCGATTAGCCAATACTCTTAACATATCGCTTAAATCAACCACTGGATGCTGTTGAAGTTGAGACATTGCATCTTCATGATAGTCGCTATATTTAAGAATGATCAATAATGGTTCAAATACCAAAAATAAAATAAAAATTCCTGCATACCTATTATTCTTTTGAATTATTTGAATAAATATACTTATACCATTTATTAATGTAGAAGTGGAATTTGGAGCTACTGGATCAAGCATATAATCGACAAGCCGTGTTACAGTTTTTTCACTTTAAATTATAATAATCATTAAAAAAAAAACATTCCGCGTTGTATAGATCGCTAAAAATTCACAACAATCAACAACCTGATAAGATCTCTACTCAGAGCATTTGGACCGACACCACCTTGATCAGGATTACTCGATTGAGAAATGGCAACAATATCAATCAGAACTTGAGTAACTGTTGAATGCACCTAAAAATTACATAATAATTTTTAAACCGTGCCAAAAGAATCAATTATATATGTATATAAATTAAAAAATTTTCTTTACTTCAGGGTCAACATTCGGGTCCAGCTGAGAAATTAATGCATCAAGAAGTCCTTCAGAATTCAACCACTATATATTCAATGAATAAAGGACAACAATTCCATAATCATTAAGACATGAGATATTACGTTGTACTAATTTCAATTTTGATATGATTACCACTAACATCAATAACCCCAGCACCTTCCGGGTACTCCTCGACACTAATTAATTTAAGTAATAATTCCACAATAGCTGAATTTTCCAAATGATTCAACATTTTTTTGACGACATTAGGAATTGATTGAATGAATTTAACCATCTTAGAATCAAAAAATGATGTGAGTGAAAAAAAAATGATGATGATTACCAAAATCAATTCTTCCTAAGCTAATTACCTCGTTCATCTTTTTCTGCATGAATACTACATTAACTTTTGTAAAATGGCTTGCTTGTGAAGGATCTAATGGTGGAGGACGGTCTAATAATTGCCAAAACGAATTAAGCAAATCTGCATTATCGATGACGGCCTCACAAATAGCCCAAATTTCACAGGAAAGGACCTCGCATGCAACATATGGATATCTAATGATTAAATAAAAATAAATGAATTAATTTATAAATTTATGATAGAAAAGAATTCGTAAAAGCTCGTATTTTTTACTTGAATTTTTGTCTCTCGTCCAAATCATCACGAACTATATAATTAAGCAATTGTGACAAAATTACGGGATCACGAAGGCTACAGAATAATTAAAAGAGATCTAAAGATAATAACAAAAAAAAAAATTTTTTTTTAAAAAATAATTCTCGAGAAATTATTTATTTAAGCTTTTACTTTTAAGACATTTTTTTTCTATAAGGGGCCAAATTTTAAAATAGAGTATGATAAAAAGGATACTATTCAATCAGTTTATTATTATGCGCTTTGCATTCTTGAATTAAATCATCTTCGTCTAATAATTCCTCCAAGGTTAGATCTTCCTTATCAAGAAGTCCGTCAATTGCAGAATGGTTTAAGCCGAGTCTCCAAAACATTTTTTTATTTGGGTTTATACCAAGGCTTTTAGGGAATTTTTAGAAAAAATTGGTAGTTTATTAGTTCAATTCAGTAAAAAAATCTAAAAAAAAAAAAATAGATATATATATAATTTAAATAAGCTACACACGTTAATTTTAGAGTTCAAACTTAATTTGATGCACAAATTACCATAAAAAAAAAAGATATAAAACTTCTTTAATTATTAGTGGTGGAAAATCTTGGATTTGTTTTCTTTACATCATGATAACAAAAAATTCATTTCTTTTAACTGTACACATGTTATGTATGTATTCATTACAAGAAATAAATCATTAATCAAAATTAATAAAATCAAAAAAAAAATACGAGTTCTAATAATTCATTTGAGAGCAAATTTTTATATAAGAATAGATTTAAATAGCCATTACGGACTTGTTTATGTGACGACAAAAATATTATCGCTATCTCGGTTTTTTTTTTAAGAAAAAAAATTTCATTCGATAGTACATTCTTTTTAGAAAGTAGGATAAAGAAAAAGAAGTTGACTAAAAAAAAAACCAAAAATAAACAAACGCGAACAAACGTTCGAAATATTTTTAATGTGAATACAACAAATGTTTTGGGGCAGAATTAACTATGAATTAACTATCGGATAACCGAAATCTACGAAATCTACGAATGGATTGATGACGTATGATATGATCCCCAATTCAATTGAAAAAAAGACTGCGCAGAGAAGGGTTTAGTGCATAACAATCAATCAACGTCAATTATACATCATTAGGGAATGGATAAATACAACAAAAGTACATCACCAAGACATCAGAATGACGAAGTATTACAAAATATGATTAGGTACGGAAAAAAAAAAAATTCCTAACTAATGGATTTACCTATTATCCATAACTAATCTTTCTTCAAACAAATCAATTATTTAGTCGATTGTGAATATCAAAAACAAATAAATATTCGGCTCATTTTCTTTTGTTTGAAAATTGTTAAATAAATAAAACAAACCTGCTTTCACACGCTCGCTCTGTCTACTAAAAAATAAGAAAGTTCCCAATTATAACTTCTTTTTCTCTGAGGGCAATAACGAAATGACAAGCCTTCATAAACGTAATCAAGAAAGAACTCATGAAGGTATAGTAAAAAAAAATAATCTATAATATTGGCCGTTTTCAAAGGTTTTAATGGTAATGTATTTTTATTTTATTAGAGAATCAGGAAAGAGCGTACATTGCTGCCAGCCATCGAGGGGTAAAAACGAAACAATGTTTAGCTTCACCTTGTTGTCTACATTCTCAACCATAATTCGTAACCATTTCTTTTGAAAAATTAGGATAGAAGTATGGAAGCTCGGATAGAATCGGCTCGCAAAGCTTCAGAAATTCACAAAAAACGTACTGGCAAAGCTCTTCGTATCACCCCAGAGGATGTTAGAAATGAAGAGATGTATCAAGAAATTGATCCTGAAGAAGAAACCAAATTAGAACAGTTTCAGCGCGATGTGATTGGAGAACCCCCTCGCTCTCAAGGTCGTAGTACCCGCTTTAATGAAAAATAACGTATCCCTACACAGGGAGAATGAAATCCTTTGAAGGATGGTTTTTTTGATCCGTTTTTTTAATGAAGTTTATTCTATTTTTTTTTCTTCTTGATTCGCTCATTGACTTTAAAAATGAAGTTGAATTTGCATTTATCTTTTAACCTTTTCCTCTGATACGAATTGTCAATAAAAAAAACTGAAACAAGATGGTCATTGCACAGCTTAATACATAATTTAATACAGAGATTTTTTTAAATGAAGAAATCATCACGTGTGTAACGTTTAATTGTTGCAAATATATTAAAAATTTGCTTTCCCGCAGCCGATTTATAAGGCAAACAAACAGTAACACGATAGGAATGAAATATCAATTCTTCCGAAATATTTATTTATAATGCAATGTCTGTCCTTCTCCATCAATTTATCATTCAACGTCATTCAGTTGGTGTGTGCTTTTTTCATGAATAATCCAATCCAATCAAATCAAATCAACCGAGGTTCATTGTTGTTCCGAATTTTTGTTACAACGATTTCTAGATATATTATTACCCCACATTTAATATTTAATATGCAAAGAAAAAAAAATCACAAAATTAAAGAGAAAAAAAATATAAAGTGTCATTTGCCTCCTGCATTTATAACGCCAATGAAATGAGAGGATTGTTTTTCAATCTTGTAGCACATTTATTGACATCACTTTACATTATCCCGTGTTGTGGCGTGGATCTTTCTTTGAAAACCCCAAAAACTGGCACCTTTTTTTTTTTTTTTTTTTTTTTTTTTTTTTTTTTTTTTATATTACTATCCTCTTTCTATATTGAAATGAAAAAAGAGAGAGACAATTGCAAAATCTGACGTTCATGATTAAAAAAAAAATTAATAATCTTAATCTTCTCTATAACTCTCCATTATATTCCTTGCAATATGCAGTGTATTTATTATGTATCGTTACATCTCAATTCTAGCGACAAATCGAGAACCAATTCTTTAATTCGAAACGTAAGCAAATGTAAAAGCAAAAGCGAAGCAATTTTTGGGGCATAAATTGTTGTTCTGTGGGGAGAATATAATAACAAAGTAAAATGCATGTCATTCATTCGATTTCAGCGTAACATGCATCGTATGTAATGTTCGTTTTTATTTTATGCATTAGAAATAATTTATTAAATGGTTAAAATAAAATGCAGTGTTTAAACTTTTCAAATAATGGTGCGAGTTTATTTTAATTGGCCATAAACAAGAGATTAAGTAGTCTTTGTTTCTTTTTAATCGTTATTCATATTTTTTTTTCCTGGATTAAATAACTAAAACGGTCCGTTCGCATGATAACAAATCGGTAAGGAAGAAGAAAGAAAATTGTGGGGCAACGAATAGAAAAGGAAATGAAATGTGTAACAATGTATTAACTCTGTATGCAAACGGAAGCTATTTGAAGCTTAACGAATCAGTACTATTATCAATTACTCCATACTTTATGCAATTGTGTCACAACAACACATGCCCCTTGAAACTTTTTGACATGACCTTAACACTGCATCTCTTTTTTTTTTTTATAAAAAATAAAAAATAAAAAAAAACCCTATCTCTAAAATACGTGATTTTTTATCCAAATAATAGATCATTTTTGAGTAACGTTTCATTTGTCCGCCTGGGTGGCTTGTGAAGTTGTTGACAGCTACAATTTATTTCAAACATTTTCCAATCATTGTTGGTTAATTATCATGAAATTATCTAATTTTGGTAAATACCTTTTTTATTTTTTTAAAAAGTAATCATTTCTTGAATATGGGGACAAACCTTATTTTTGATGTATAAAAAAAAATAAATAAATAAAATAAATAAAAACATATCGGATATTTTTTTTATATATATATATACCTTGCTTAGGTAATTACATGACTTATTGCTTTATATGAGTTGACAATTTGAGTGATATTTATTTGACAGGTTTAAAATTTTTTTTTTTTTTTTTATGAATGACTGTGGTTTCCAAATCAGCATGTATGTAATAAGATGTGCTTACGATATCAAAAATCAAAATATTTGTCGAATAAAAAAACTTTAAGAATCTATGTATAGCGGAATTCCCTTTTTTATCCTTTTGCACAACATTTTTTGGCGGGAATGAGAAAATTTAACCACGCGAGCACAATTAAAAAAAAAAAATTTTAAAACGACAACGTGGGATTATTTATTCCTTGTTTGTTAAAACTTACAAATATTCACCTTGGAAAAGGTTTAGCTTATCCTTTCAACTCTTTCCATTTTAAATGTCATTCTTGAACTTAAAAAGGTATGACAAATTTTAAGAACAATGGCAGTAATTTATTATAAGATTAAAATTATGCAGGGGGAAAATAAACCTGATAAAAAATTAACCAACAACTTACCAGAAATATTCTCAAGTTTTGGTTGGTAAAAAATTATTCGAAAAAACCAAACACAAAATAAATATATAAATAATAATAATATTAGTTTGACATATTTACATAATCAACCGTTTCAAACATGACATAATAAACATCCGATAACCAAGGAAATTGAATTTTATTATGAACGGGTTAAGGTTGATAAATCAGGTTGTGAATCCTCCTTTTTTTTATTTATGCAACACGAGGGAAAGAGATATTACTTTCGGATCTTCGGACGCCCTATCCAATTACACCAATTACAGTTTTTCAACACGGTATACCTTCTAAAATGAGTCGGGTTACGTAATATGAATTCAAAAGTTTGACATTACTTTAAAATTCAATCGTATCATCGTATCAAAGTTCGATAGATTTTAATCTTCCGCGACGTGTTATATAGGAGGTTCCTTTCCATTTCCAGGTTAAATTGATCCGTATAAATAAAATTTACAAATGTGGAGGTCGCATACTCGCATACGATATGTATTTTATGCTTCATCGATTCATTGTTTGTTGGTTTATTGGCATAGATGTATATTAAAACGTATGCATACATGCGCAATATATTTCTGTTTATGTGCACAACGAAGCTGTCAAAGAACTTTTTTTTAAGTTATAAAAATCAACGTAATCAAATGTATCTTTATGTAATTCGCAATGATGTTTTATTGTCATTTGATTATTTTAAGTCGCTTATTTGTTTGCTTTTAAATTTCATGTGCTGTTATTATTATTAAATCTTGCATTCCCTGCACGTTACATGCTCCATGATTTCAATTAGTGTAATTTTTCGAAACCTTAAAAATGAACAATGAGCCGGTCAGCAAGTCACATGATCTGATGGATCTAGATTTTTATACTTGAGTTGGCGTGATCCGCCAATCCACAAATCCTAACCACTTAAAGAACTTTATCATCAGACAATAATAATACTTAAAATAACTTATTTTAATAAAAATGAATATAAAGACCATGAAAAAAAACTTTTTATCGAACGACTGTATGTCAATAAACGAAAATTGGAAGAAAAAATTTTCTGTGGCTTGTGGCGTATTAACAGTATAAAAGGTATCACATTTATTTATTTTTTTCCTATGTAAATTTGCTCATATAATTTTGTTACACTGAATTACCATAATCGATTAGTAAGGCTAATGTAAGCAAGTATTTGATTGCAGCTTATGATATTGCATATATTCGCATCCTCAGAGAAACTAACACCTTCGGGAAAAATTTTTACAGTATTTTTTTTTTTATTACTTTTATTTTATTTATTTTATTTTATTTATTTATTTATTTATAGAGAAAAACATATATATATATATATATACAATAAATACTGTAGCATAAATAAATAAATAAAAAATAAATAAAGGTAATAACAAAAATTTATAATTTCATTATCAAATATATTTAATAACATTTTTTTTGCTGTCGTTCCACGTTTATTAAAACCTTTTCTGCAAACTTCCTGTTTGCAACAACATATTGCTCCACAAAAAAAACTGTTTTTTTATATAAACAAAAAAAAAAATCAAAAAAAAATTTCCTGATAAATATAGCCCTTGAAATATATTTTTTTTTATGACCTGATTTTACTGTTCAGTTCACTTCGTTCACCGCTTCTTGTGTGTGCTAAACAATAACGTCAACGACTCAAAGTTCCTCCTTTATTTCAACCATAATATATCTTCATATATATATATATCACTTTGTAACTTTGATTGTTTATTACGTTGACGTTTTTGCTTCATTATTGTTTCTTTAAAACGTTTGCATATCCTATATCAGTAAACGAAACGTTACTTGGTTCTTATTCCCACTTCAACAAAAAATTATCATTTTTTATCACCTTTCCTTTTTTTTTACGCAAGATTCTTTTCTTAACCTTTTCTCACACACAAGCTTCCCGATTACGTTTGTACTGTTTTTTAAAAAAAAAAAAAAAATCAATTACACGAAACACATCAATCGTCTTTCCAATGGATATAAAAACACTTCTAAACACAAATGATGAACGTCGCGGACTTACCAGTCCATCCCTTTCAAGCACAACAAACGAATCAATTACTGATTCGGAACCAATCGTAGATAATGACCGCCCATATGAATGTTCTTGGCCTGCTTGCGTGAAGGCCTTTTCACGTAGGTCCGACCTTGCTCGACATCGACGAATCCATACAGGAGAAAGACCATATCATTGTGATTGGCAAGGATGTGGCAAACAATTCATACAACGCTCTGCTTTGACAGTTCATTTCCGAACCCACACAGGCGAAAGACCACATATTTGTGAATATCCAAATTGTAGCAAGTCATTCAGCGACGTAAGTATTATACAATAGAGTAAATGTTTTTTTTGACTTTGTACTAACTTTTATTCAATCAATTCAGTCTTCATCATTGGCCAGACATAGAAGGACACATACAGGCAAAAGACCTTATGTTTGTTCACACTCTGGGTGCGGGAAGACATTTACAAGACGAACAACTCTCACAAGACATCAAAGATCTCATGATCCCCATTGGAAGGAGTATAATACGTGTGTAATATTTATATATTATTATTATGTTGATTTTTACACATTATTAGTTAGTTTTATGTTATGATACCTTTGCGACAAATAACGTCTCGCAAACTTTATTTTTATCTTATTATTATTCTTTTTGCTATTGTTTTTGGTAGCACTGCATAACTGTTCTTCAACTTTTATCTTAATGATCACCATTGTTTATTTACGTATTTAGAGCATTTGAACCACGTAAACAACCAAATTCTATCCCTATCACAATGTCCCGCGGATGTAATGCTCAAAGCTACGGACCTCCAAGCCCTCCAAGTCCTCCTACACCCACTGATAGTCATAAGCCAGAAATGTCTGTAGATTATCCTTATCAACATCAATATCCTTTGATCGGCAATTATGTTCTTCCGGCCATTAATTGCTTATATTTACAACAGCCAATGGAAACCAGTTTAACATCCAGCACCCGTATTACCGCATTCAAGAAAGTCGTTAAAGAAAACAACAATGATTCATACAAGTTCGGCTATCCATCTCCCGTTGAGGCTCCATTGTCATTACCTTCCACTCATGACGAACGTGATTTATATTATGCCTCCTCCATAAGAATGACTTATTAACTAACTAACACACAATAAAAATAATATGCTTCACACGGAAAAGAAAAATATCGTTTTTTCTTTTGAAATCGTATTGCTGGAACAATATGATTTTTTTTAAAAAAAAATATATATATATAATATATATGTACACATATGTATATCTCGAACTTTCGTTTACTTAAAAAAAAAAAAAAAAAAAAAAAAAATAGAAGGCCAGGCAGAAAAAGGGATTCCTTAGTTAATATTACCTTCCCCCGATTAGTTTTAAATTTTATATAAGCTCAACAATTCCAAATTATGATTAATTTTTTTGCATATCCCTTTTTAATATATTACGCCGATATTAAAATATAAACAAAACCCCCTCCCATTTGTAAGATATTTCACATAATTTCATTTATAACATGCACTAAAAAAGAGATTATATGCTACATTATAACAAAAAAATCCCTTTACATGAATTTATTTTCACATTTTCGCGTTTTTTCTCTTTTTTTTCATAATCATCAATCGCATCTATCACATCGTATATATTAATTACGTTTTCGAAGAGATAATTTCTTTAATTACAGCATCGTTTTTTTTTTACACTGATCGATCAGAAATTTTTCGGCATTAGACTTTTTTTTTTTTCCTTTTCTTTTTAATAGGGGATTCAAATTAACAAATTTAATTCAATATATGTATATATATATTAATTTAAGAGTATTTGGGTAATATACGCGATTTTTCGCGTACATGCTTCTCAGGTTGATGGTAGAAATAATTCGTCGTTTTATTTTTCGTTATACATTAATCATCATACCTTAATCTCACATAATTTTTCTGTTCGATATTCCTAACAAATACTTCCTTTGATTTTCGATCCAAATACCTCAATTCAGAAAAAAAAGGAAAAGAAAAAAAAAATCACACATAGATGAAATTTCTTTTCGATACCATAGATTCAATTTAATTATAAAAAATTTTTTCATTTCATTTTCTCTCTTCTTTTTTTATTATATAACCAAAAAATTATAAACAAAAGTAATAATAATTTAAATATAAATACGAAAATTAATGTTGTAAACTCCCGTTTTAGAAAAAAAAAAACAAAAACAAAAACAAAAAATGATGATAATTATTATAGATACGCGACAAAAAAAGTTTCGTAAAATCTAATGAATTGGCAATAAAAAAATTGGTTGAATGGCACCTAATAGAATAAATTTTAAACCTGTCTACTTTAAAATGTTAAAAAAATTTTTATAAATACGTTAATGGTCGTACTAACCGGTCAAATATCCGAGAAAATATTTTTTTACCGGATTTTATTTTCTTAAAACCGGCTACATGTATGTAATAACCATTAATTTATTAAACTTGCTCCGAGTAAAACAAATTAATGAAATTCTCGTAATCCTTTTTATGATATCATCCATTGTATTGGTTGTATAACGAATATTTGATGATTCGATGAGTTCTTTTAGATCTATTTCATTTCCACTAGTCTTGAAATGAAAAAAAAAATGATTATCAATGATCTCTTTTTTTTCTTTTTTTTTGATTGTTGGTTGGTACATAAAAAAAAATTTGCCGGTGAATCAGTAACATAAAATTTTTTGGAATCTGGAATTTACAATACAAATTATTGGCTACCGTACACATGACATTTCGATCAATGGATTTTGTGACATTTAAGATTTATCGTTTTATTTTATTTTTGGCACCAAAAATTTTTTTTTCTGTTTGACAGTTAATTAGGCGCACATTATAGTGCATTTTGGTTGTCATATTAGAAATTAAACCAAAATTAGATTTTGATATTTCTTTGTTCCAGTTAATTCACCAAACATTGTTCGGACCGGATAAGATTTCGATAGATTGGCGCATGTGCACACACACACATGGCGCAATGTAAAGTCATCAAAACAAAGATTGCATTTCGAATCAGTAAAATCCAAGTTTGTGTTTATTGAATCAAAATATATATGCAAAACAGACTTTTTGATGCATAACAAAGAAACAAGTCAAATTTTTTTTTTGTTTACCTTGCATAATAACTATAAACCAAATTTAGAATTATGTTCTAATAAGTTAGGTTTGAATTGAATTGTTCGAAAATATTTTTGTTTTTATTTTTAATTTGAGGAAAATGATATTTAATAATCGGAGCTAGTTTAATTATGATCACAATCACAAACTCGCTTCATTATTGTTTGTTTATATTGTTTATATAATAAATAAAGTCCGTGCAAACTATAATATTAATTTTTTTCTTTTTTGGTTCCAAATCTTTGGCACTGATTTCTTTAAATGGATTGCATAAAAATTTTTTGAAAGTCACTATCACAAAGTTTGGGGGTTCGGTTTTTTTTTTTTTTTTTTTGCAACATTTTTGATATATTGTTAGAACAATGAAATTTTCGGATTTCGGCGCCTTGCCATTAAAGTTTAGATTTCATTTAGTGAAAATTTTATAAATGGGCGCTGATTGCTTAATCGCACATAATAAAAAAATCAATGCAACAAAAATTAGTTCTAGAATTATGATAATCTGTATGTGAATTTGCATTGTACATATTGTATGTAAAATTCAATTAAAAACAATATATACTAAAAAAAAAAAAAAAAAAAAAAAAAAAAAAAACTATTTTTTTCGATTTGGGAATTTTGTTCAACTTAAATTATTGGTGTGCATGATATTTACTAGTTACGAAAATTTAAAAAGGACATATTTTTGATGTTTTTAATAAATTAAAAATCTTTTGGAATAAAGTTTAATAAATTTTAAATTATCTGAATCTTATTTTTTTTTTACAAATATCTAATATAAATAATATTTAAGTTTTTTAAATAAATTACAAATCTTACATAAATTAACATTTATGATTAATAAAAATTTATATTAGAATTTTTATATTTAAATTAATAATTAGAGGCGTTTAAAGGAAAAATTTATTCTAGGCGATTGGGCATAAATTAAAATTTTATCGACATTT